GTGCCACGAGTCAGGTCTCCTCACACCTGTCTGGTGTTGTAGGGATATTTGGTCGGCTCGTTGGGCATGCTTCCGCTTCGTTCTAGATTGCTCTTTCTCCTGCTTCTCCTCTTCACGCGGATATTCCGTCAGCTGTCGTTTCGTGGAATCCGGTGTTCAAAGAGGACTAACTACAGTTTGCAGCATACAGCACCCGAACGGTTGCAACAAGTCTGAACGTCGCTCTGTGCACAAGTTGCTTGCTGTGGCTGCAGGCCCACTCCATTTCTCACTGGTTCAGGTCTCTCAACACACATGCTTGTCCGAGAGAAATGATGGCTTGGTGCCAGTATCCGGTTGGGTGGGAGAGTGCCAAGCCATCATTAGTCTTCGCCAATAAAGGCTAGTGCCCCCTGCATTCACATGTAGAAGGGATGGAGTGAGGCCAGCCTCTTCATGAGCTGCCAAGTCGAGTCTCTGCCAAAGTGCACTGTGGGGCGCGAGCGCCGATGTTTTTGCGGTGTGGAGGCTGTGTATACTCCGGGTCAGGGACAGTACATGCCATTTGACGGCCCTACTGGTTTGTGGGACGTTGGTACGCCGTCACAGCCGCACCTGAGCAACGTGGGACACAGGTCACGCGCGCGCTTTTTTTGCCATCCACGTTTGCACGACCTTGGGTCTCAGCAAAGCTGTCCGCCTCTAATACGTGCCACCTCTTCTTCCGCCGTGTCCTCAGCCGCCAGGTCCCCGTGGTCTCTAAGGGTCCCATGTACCCGAACCGGGGTGCGTCATCCATCACACTCTGGGCCATGCATTTAGGGAGTCGCAACTGCTGGTGTGTAGCTGGTTCTGACACTGGGGTGCCGGGGCGAGATCTGTACGGTCCTCACATGGGAGGAAACTTTGCTGAGTGTAATGATCAGGAGAAATCTGACAGATGGCCTGGTATCCGCGCCATCATCGCTGAAAAAGCGGAAACCCATGGTCTGACCGGACACAACGGTGAGTGGAAGAACGGGGTCCCATTGCTGCGTCTCCATCGTCCAAGGGATGGTGTGTGCCATTGCGCCATGGCACATGGCACTCACGGTGTTCAATCGTGGTTGACATTAGGGTGCGGGCGTAAATGGGCCGACCATCCTCTGCAAGACCTAATCCGTAAAATGGGTCACGTAAATACTGCCTTGCATGCATGGCTGCCAAAGTCCAGAGCCTACTCATGGGCATTGCATCACGGCCTCCATTGAGCTGGCTCCAGCGGGCAGAACGGAATGTTCCACTTTTCAGCGATCGCCTTCACACACTGCGACGTGGGCTTTTTTTTGACAAGGGGCTGGAATTACGGGCCCTAGCAGCGTGGTAGACCGCCTTTTACGAGCATGCCGAAGAGGCCCCTATATACCGATTTCCTGATTTGCTGCTACACGCGGAGTAAAGGGTACATATTCTCATGTGTAAATGTGCGATGGCGAGCCATTGGCAGCTGTCGCCATCGCTGTGGGTCACACTGTCGCTGCGCTCAGGTGCCACTTTGGAGGGGAGGTGCCACGCTGCCTGGTGACGTGAGTTTTTTGCAGGAGGTTTGGGCAGGATTAGACGCGACGTCATTGCTGCTGATGGCGACGTCATTCTGCCATTGAGAACATAAGGCTTGATTAACACGCCTAGGGTCGGGTCAGGTGCGGTAGATCGATGGCTGCGCCACAGATCTTCATGGGTCGCCTGTTAGGGACCCCATGTGGCGGGCAGGGACAGGAAGAAGAGGAGGAGGGTGCCAGTAGGTGGGAGGGACTCCTTACCACTGCTGCGGGTGTAGTAATTAGTTGAGTGAAATAGGGGTGGTTTGTTTCCACTCTGCGGGACTGGTAGTGGAGGCGAGTCTTAGGAGCATTCTGTTTTGCGTGGGTATAGGAGTGAGGAGGAGGTGAGGATGACAGAGGTCCCAGTGACGCACCGTGGCAAGTCCATGCTGTGTGAGATGGGTTGGGCAGGGGAGTCCCTCGCATTCCTTGGGCTGTTCAAAGGGCCCATCTGCATGCGTTCGGTTGCTTGGCGTGTTAGCGACAGACTGCCGAATAATGAACCATAGACAGGAGGGATGACTGTCCGATTATGGGATGTCCACCTATAGTTGCTGCCAGGGCTCGCTACCGTTCCAAAATGGGCCCTCTTTTTCACACCTGCTGGAGATGAGAGTGCTGGCCAACATTGATCGTGACCATATAAAAACCACCTATGGGGATCAGGTGGTACGTGCTCTGGACTATGGCTGCGCTCCATCGTCCAGCACTCAAACACATGGTGGGCCACCTGTGATCTCCTGCGCGTCTCCGCTGGTGTAGCCGCTTTTTGCCATAGGGAGCAGTGGGGTGGGGTGTTGGGCCTCCCGGTGGTAGGATGCAGAGCCCCTAAGTGGCAGCTCCTACAGCAGGAGCGCGGGGCTTGCCTCTGTCTGCAGTCGATGATGATTGTCTCCAGGGGTAGCTTTCGGCCTCACCAGCTGCGTGAAAGGAGGGGAACAACGCTACAACCAGCCGCCACTTTCTGGTCGAGCTAGCTAGCAGCAGCTGCTAGGTGGTGTACAATTTTTTGACAGGGTGCTGGCAGAACAACGGGCCTCTCACATAGCTGAGCCCAGGCCCTAATCTGCCTAGCCCCCTCCCCCCCCCCCTGTGTACCGCCTCCCTCGATGCGGGGCTGCCAGGTCAGAGTCATCTCAGGGGTCCTGTGTGGCCTCCCATTGCTTGCTGGTTTCTCCACTGCCCTGGATCTGAGGAGGGAAACCATGTCAGTCTCGCAACCACACAGTGTGCACTGTAGGTTTTTTTGTGACCCCCCCCCTCCCCACCTTACTGGCGACGCCTGCCCTGCCCGGCTCACTTACTGCCAACGCCCTTCCACGAGTCTAGGATTTCCTTTTTGGTTGTCGGCTGTCCGCGCACTCGTTCGCAATCCCATCTTTTCCTTTTTCCATCCCTTTCATTGGCAACGAGAACTCGCACGTTTGTGAAATGGACTCGCAGGCCGTGGTCCGATGCCCTTCCCAAACGGTCATTGTCCCGTAGATGTTCACCTTTTTCCTGACTCCTGACGTTTTTGCCCCTGCCCGGTGACTAAGAGCATTAGCGTCTTTGGCCCCTTTGGTCGATGTGGTCCATCCTGTCAGCAGTAGCCAGTTCTATAGCCGTCAATTGCCACGATGGGTCCCCCCTTAGGGGCGTCCGCTTAGCTGTGTTTTCGATCGGCTTTAGGGTGCATTGGCCGCCGGTGTTCCTTAGTGCGTGGGGCCAGCCTCAGTAGGTTATACTTGTAACCTCCGCGAGAGGACGCCACGTTCTTGTCTCCAACAGCTTCGCTGTTAGAAGCCGTCTCATTTGTTCGCGAGGGCGGAACGTCGTCTCCACTCTCCGTCTTGCCTTTGTGGTTTGAGAAAAGAATTTTTTTAGAATAGCAGGTGCGATCGGTCGAGTTTGTTCTAGCCTTTTTCTAGTAGTCCTAGAGAATCTTCCTTTTCCCCCGCTCAGTTGCCTTGGGCCTTTTCTTTCCTAGAACCTCCTGACACTACATGCCTGTTCTGACCAGTTATCCTTGTTTTGATTCATGGGTGTCCTCTTCTCCTCGTGTCCAAGCCCTATTTCCTTCGGTCTCAGTCGCCACACGCTGGCGCATGTACTGCCACGTTTCAGATGTCTCCGGGCACTTTCTTGTCGGTCCTGTCTGTGTGAATTCCCCCTCGTTGCAAGGGTGTGCCTGGTGGAGTCTAAGTTGTCTCGCATTGACTGATGTTCATTCCTCCCTTTTGGTCGTTGCTGACTCGTGTCTTTTCTTCACCTTCCCCTTCCGTCGATCCCATACCTCCCTCCTCCCTCTCCCCTGAGGATGTCTGTTCGCAGACCTATCCTACCTTCCGCCCCTTCCACGTGGTGGCCCTGGACGGCCCTCCCATTGCGGCTCGTCTCCGATCGCCCCTACATTCTGTCCTGCGTCGCCCGCTAATATCAGCACCCGCCTCATCATTCCTTCTGGTGCTGCTTGGCCAATGTCTTTTTTGTCAGAGGCTCTCTCGGGGTTCCTTCTATTACGGCTCCCCCCTATTTGCTGCTGTCTTCCAAGGCCTCGTAATCTGCCATGTGGCCCCTTCATGGTCTGCTCTTCCCCTGCTCACACACTTGCTGGCTGCCAATGTCGTACTTTAGTTTGTTGCATGGGTGCCCTTTTTTACGTGGCCTTCGCTGTGCTTAGGCCTCATTTTCTTTCCCCCCTCATTGTTCGGCTAGGTGACATCTGGAGTACCTAGTCTCCTTTATTAGCTCCCCTGTGCTGCCCTTGGCCTTTTCCCTATTCATTCGTTATCCTGGACATTGGGTGCTGGCACGTATCTAGGGCCCTCTGCTTCTTTGTCCTATTCCTTTATACCGCCTCTCCACTCCCTTAATCTGCCTCATCCATGGCCCCTATATACCGCCTCCCATGGCGGCCTGCCAGAGCCAGAGTCTGTCTCTGTGGGTCCCTGTTCGGCGCCTCCCATTGCTGCTGTCTCCATCGCACACTCTATGCCATGGTGCCCACTTTCAGGTCTCTCACTTCACACAATGCTGGTGTGTTTCAATTTTTTGACATAGGGTGGGCTGGCAGAGTTACGGGCCTCCTATAGCTGCCGCTGTCCAGGCCCCGTGAATTCTGCCAGTGGGCCCAATTATACCGCCTCCTCATGCTGCTGCCAAGTCCAGAGTCTCTCATGGGTCCCTGTCGGCCTCCCCCTCCTCCCATTGCTGCTGTCTCCATCGCCACACTCTGCCATGTGCCACTTTCAGGTCTCCTCACACACTGCTGGTGTGTTGTAGAATTTTTGACATAGGGTGCTGGCAGATTACGGGCCTCCAATAGCTGCTGCCAGGCCCCCCTAATCTGCCATGGGCCCTATATACCGCCTCCTCATGCTGCTGCCAGGTCCAGAGTCTCTCATGGGTCCCTGTAACGGCCTCCCATTGCTGCTGTCTCCATCGCCACACTCTGCCATGTGCCACTTTCAGGTCTCCTCACACTGCTGGTGTGTTGAATTTTTTGACATAGGGTGCTGGCAGATTACGGGCCTCCTATAGCTGCTGCCAGGCCCTAATCTGCCATGGGCCCCTATATACCGCCTCCTCATGCTGCTGCCAGGTCCAGAGTCTCTCATGGGTCCCTGTACGGCCTCCCATTGCTGCTGTCTCCATCGCCACACTCTGCCATGTGCCACTTTCAGGTCTCCTCACACACTGCTGGTTGGTGCCGTGTGTTGAATTTTTTGACATTAGGGTGCTGGCAGATTACGGGCCTCCTATAGCTGCTGCCAGGCCCCTAATCTGCCATGGGCCCCTTATATACCGCCTCCTCATGCTGCTGCCAAGTCCAGAGTCTCTCATGGGTCCCTGTACGGCCTCCCATTGCTGCTGTCTCCATCGCCACACTCTGCCATGTGCCACTTTCAGGTCTCCTCACACTGCTGGTGTGTTGAATTTTTTGACATAGGGTGCTGGCAGATTACGGGCCTCCTATAGCTGCTGCCAGGCCCCTAATCTGCCATGGGCCCCTATATACCGCCTCCTCATGCTGCTGCCAGGTCCAGAGTCTCTCATGGGTCCCTGTACGGCCTCCCATTGCTGCTGTGTCTCCATCGCCACACTCTGCCATGTGCCACTTTCAGGTCTCCTCACACTGCTGGTGTGTTGAATTTTTTGACATAGGGTGCTGGCAGATTACGGGCCTCCCATAGCTGCTGCCAGGCCCCTAATCTGCCATGGGCCCCTAATATATCCGCCATCCTCATGCTGCTGCCAGGTCCAGAGTCTCTCATGGGTCCCTGTACGGCCTCCCATTGCTGCTGTCTCCATCGCCACACTCTGCCATGTGCCACTTTCAGGTCTCTCCTCACACTGCTGGTGTGTAGAATTTTTTGACATAGGGTGCTGGCAGATTTACGGGCCTCCTATAGCTGCTGCCAGGCCCTAATCTGCCATGGGCCCCTATATACCGCCTCCTCATGCTGGCCAAGTCCAGAGTTGGGGCCAACAGGCCTCCATTGTGCTGACTAGCCCTACTCCCGGGCCCAGGTCTCTTCATGCGTCCCCTGTACGCCCTTTCCCATTGCTGCTGTCTCCATCGCCACACTCTGCCATGTGCCACTTTAGGGTCCCCCTCACACTGCTGGTGTGTAGATTTTTTGACATAGGGTGCTGGCATTCGCTACGATTACGGGCAATGCTGGTGGTCAGGGGAGTTCCTCATTGCTGCATAGACGTGGGCACATGATCCAGGCAACTCCCATAGCTGCTGCCAGGCCCCTAATCTGCCATGGGCCCCTATATACCGCCTCCTCATGCTGCTGCCAGGTCCAGAGTCTCTCATGGGTCCCCTGTACGGCCTCCCATTGCTGCATGTCTCCATCGCCACACTCTGCCATGTGCCACTTTCAGGTCTCCTCACACTGCTGGTGTGTTGAATTTTTTGACATAGGGTGCTGGCAGATTACGGGCCTCCTATAGCTGCTGCCAGGCCCCTAATCTGCCATGGGCCCCTATATTACCGCCTCCTCATGCTGCTGCCAGTCCAGAGTCTCTCATGGGTCCCTGTACGGCCTCCCATTGCCATGCTGCTCAGGAGCCAAGCAGAAATTTTTTTGACAGGGTCGCGTGCCCCTATAGACCGCCTCCTCATGCATGCTGCACAGGTCCTGGTCGTACTAAATGGGTCCCTGTACAGGCCTCCCTTTGTGCTTCCATCGCCACACTCTGGCCATGTGCACTCAGGTCTCAGCACTGCTGGTGTGTAAGCAATTTTTTTATGACATAGGTGGCGGCTGGCTGCCAGGCAATCTGCGGGCCCCCCTGTACCGACTCCTCATGCTGTGTCTAGCAAGTCAAGGAGTAGTAATTCACCCTCCCAGCTCCCACCGCCAGCCCTACCACCACGGCCAGTAGTGGTGCCGGTGGGTTGTGCACGGAGGAAGTAGCATCAGCCAGTGAGGAGTAGCGGAGGCAAAGTTTCCTACTCTGCGGTGTGGCAATTTTTCGTCAAGCCGCCCGAGGAAGTAAACGGTAGCCGTATGTCGACTATGTGGCCAGAATCGTAGTCAAGCGTGGCCAGTAGGCCCATGTTGGGACTACAGCGTTGCGTCAGCCATATGCAGCGTCGCCATTCGGTGGCCTGGGAAAACCGTGATAAAGATACGGCGGTTCTGCCTGCCCCACCCAGGGTTCCATTTTGTCATAGGGTGCTGGCAGATTACAGGCCTCCCATAGGTGCCGCCAGGCCCCAAATCGGCCATGGGCCCCCGTACCGCCTGGTCACGCTGCTGCTGAGCCCACAGTGTGACCTGGGTCCCTGTACGGCCTCCCATTGCTTCCACTCTGCCATGTGCCACTTTGAAATCTCCTCACACTCCTGCGGTTGTCCATTTTGTCATAGGTTGCTGGCAGATTACAGGCCTTCCATAGGTGCCACCAGGCCCCAAATCGGCCATGGGCCCCGTACCGCCTGGTCACGCTGCTGCTGAGCCCACAGTGTGACCTGGGTCCCTGTACCGCCTCCCATTGCTCCCACTCTGCCATGTGCCACTTTGAGGTCTCCTCACACTGCTGGTGTGTTCAATTTTTTGACATAGGGTGCTGGCAGATTACGGGCCTCCCATTGCTGCTGCCAGGCACGTAATCTGCCATGGGCCCCCGTACCGACTCCTCATGCTGTGACGTTGCAACAAGGTGGAATTCAACACTACATATGTTAGACCGCCTTTACGAACAGCGAAAGGCCATCACAGATTTCCTGATGTTAAAAGCGGATAAAGGTACTCCCTGTGTAACTTAGATGTCAGCCATTGTCAGCTCATGCGTGACACCTGCGCTTGCTCAGGCCCTTTGAGGAGGCCACGCTATTCGTGAGTCGGCAGGACTATGGGATGAACGAGGTCAAATCGGCCATGGGCCCCCGTACCGCCTGTTCACGCTGATGCTGGTCCCACAGTGTGACCTGGGTCCCTGTACCGCCCCATCCCATTGCTCCCACTCTGCCATGTGCCACTTTGAGGTCTCCTCACACTCCTGCGGTTTTCCATTTTGTCATAGGTTGCTGGCAGGTTACAGGCCTCCCATAGGTGCTGCCAGGCCCCAAATCTGCCATGGGCCCCCGTACCGCCTGGTCACGCTGCTGCTGGGCCCACAGTGTGACCTGGGTCCCTGTACCGCCTCCCATTGCTCCCACTCTGCCATGTGCCACTTTCAGGTCTCCTCACACTCCTGCTGGTTTCCATTTTGTCATAGGTTGCTGTATGGCCTCCCATTGCTGCTGCCTCCACCGCCACACTGTGGCTCCAAACACTGGTTTTGGCCCCGTGACTGGCCAAATGAGTGAAGTGTGCGGTGATTCTAAGATCGACGGCACTCATCTGCATGTCATACTGAGTGACAGTATTATTTCTCTTCCCCAGCAGACTCCAAGGGCATTTAAATTAAAGGTACAGTGTTCTGCACTAATATTAAGTCTCTCTGAAGCCTAGAAACACCCTTTTTTAAGTTAAATTCACAGCGAATTTATTCGACTCGAATCGAATATTGTCCACGAATTCGCCGAATCAGTCGAATCGAATTTTTCATTTCTTCGCTCATCTCTAACCTGAACTAATAACAATGCATATTTATATTTTTTTTTTTTTGCAATCTGGTACATTTTAGAATTTCACATAATGTAGACAAAAGAGCTGACATTACAAACAAAAAGTGTGTATGGGGGGGGGGTGCTCTTCTAGCCCACTTTTCTTGCCTGCAGGACTGTGTGCTCAGATAAGGGTGTATTGGTGATTTTGGGGGGAAGCCACACTTTTTTGGGGGTAAGGGGTTCCCCTTCAAATCCATGGTTTATATCTATATATATCTATATATATTTTTTATATACTATCTACTTATGATTATACATCTTAATTCTTGAATCATGGTACTACTATATATTCCAGTTAATGTTATTGGTGGCATGGTGGCTTAGTGGTTAGTACTTCTGCCTAGCAACACTAGGGTTCACATCCTACCCATGGCACCATGTGAAAGTAGTTTGAAGTGCAATTACTCCCCTAACTGCTTTAGAGGCTGTGTAGACCCGGGAACGCATTATCACATATGGTGGGACTGCCCAATAGCCCAAACATTCTGGACGGACGTCTTTAACATGATCACCAAATTTAGTGCAGCCCCGCTTCACCCATCCCCTACAATAGCACTTCTCAATCTACGCCCTCCTGGCGTAACTACGTCGCAATTCAAACTCATCCTACAAATTACCACTGCAGCCAAGCAGGTTATTGCAAAATTCTGTGAAATCCCCCACTTTAAGCATTGCCGCAGTTAAAACTAGAGTAACACAAGCCATGATACATGCAAAGGTGGAAGCCACAATCCTTGACGCAGTTCCTAAGTTCCTAAATGTCTGGAATCCTTGGGTAGAAGGCTTCCTCCCGCAGAACTTTGATGAATCGCTCCTTCTTCCCTGATGTGCAAACTGCGCATTCTTAGCATTAGTATGGCACCACTGTGAAGCGAACACACAAAACGCTACCTCTTTCCCTTCCAACCAGGGAGTCACTTTCGTCACCCCTCTCTTAACCCCCCCCCCCCCTCAGTCCCCCTCTGTTCACCCCTCAAACTCATCCTACAAATTACCACTGCAGCCAAGCAGGTTATTGCAAAATTCTGTGAAATCCCCCACTTTAAGCATTGCCGCAGTTAAAACTAGAGTAACACAAGCCATGATACATGCAAAGGTGGAAGCCACAATCCTTGACGCAGTTCCTAAGTTCCTAAATGTCTGGAATCCTTGGGTAGAAGGCTTCCTCCCGCAGAACTTTGATGAATCGCTCCTTCTTCCCTGATGTGCAAACTGCGCATTCTTAGCATTAGTATGGCACCACTGTGAACCGAACACACAAAACGCTACCTCTTTCCCTTCCAACCAGGGAGTCACTTTCGTCACCCCTCTCTTAACCCCCCCCCCCCTCAGTCCCCCTCTGTTCACCCCTAACTCTCCAAGCAACTCTGGAGAGTCCTCATCCCCATCGTTTAATGTCTGTGTGATATGCTACTACTTTTTGACAAGAATTTTCACTTACTTGGCATTACAGGTTGTACTGCTTTGTTTTATTGACTCTCCCTTGATATATAATGCAATTGACACTGAATATATTTTCTCCCGCACTTTACTGTTGATATAATGTCTATTGCCTACTGTCAATGTATTCCTTCCTATGTTATAATACCAATAAAAAGTTTGAACAAGAAAGTAGTTTGAAGTGTGGGAGGAAGCACACAGAGAGAACATGTAAAGACATTTTAGTAGGTTAATTAGCACTAGTATGAATGTAAGCTCCTTGAGGTTAGGGATGAGCTCATAGAGGTGCATAATTGCTTCTTGTCCTAAGTAAAACCTGCAATGGACATCCTGCAAGTATGCAT